GCTACGCACCCTGCATCTGCACTAGAAATTCCGTCTTGATCCTGCGGGCGGCTTCGCTTTCGTTCTCATTGCGAGAGCCACACAAGGAGTCCACCTCGTCTATGAAGATGATGGAGGGCTTATGCTGCCGGGCCAGCTCAAACAGGTTCTTCACCAGCCTGAAGCAGGAAGAGAGGGGACGGCTCAAGACCGAGCGCAGAGAGGCCACGAGACCCAGACGCGCAGGGCAACGGAGCCCCAGAAGGCAGCCGGCCCAGTCTGCACCTCTCCTCTCTCGGCTCCATCCTGCCCAACGAGCCAAACCCTCTGTTCCAGCCCCTGCACTCACTTTTCGCTCTCCCCCAGCCACTTGGACACCAGGTCGGAGGAGGAGATGGAGAAGAAGGTGGAGTTGCCAGCCTCGGTCGCTACGGCCTTGGCCAAGTAGGACTTCCCCGTGCCAGGAGGGCCGAAAAGGAGGATCCCTCGCCACGGGGTGCGCTTGCCTGGGGGACAGACAGACAGACAGAGACAGCCTTACCCCACCTTCGCAATACTCCACGTGGCCAGGGGACGGCAAAGGGGACCCCCAGGAGGCCTTACCTGTGAACAGGTGTGGAAACTTGATGGGCAGAATGACAGCTTCTTTCAGGGCCTCCTTGGCCCCCTCCAGGCCAGCCACGTCACCCCACCGCACGTTGGGCTTCTCCATCACCACGGCCCCTGTGGCGGGAAGGCAGTTGGCCCCACGAACGCCACGCACTGCCCACCCCGCCCTGCCAGGAAGGGGCCACCAGGCAGCAGCCTCTCACTCCCAGGGGCTGGCGGCAAGCGCCACCCGCGGCTCCGGCCCCCGAGTCCCAGCCTTACCCATCAGCTGCTCTTGCAGCTTCTTCTTCTCGGGGTTGTCTCCCTCGTTGTCACTGTCGCTCCTGTGGAGGGAGGCACCTGGTCAGGTGGGATGGAGCAGCCCCCTCCCCGCCAGAGAGGAACGGGCTCCGGAGACACGGAGGGCCCAGACCGCACTGACGGCGGCCTGCACATCCGCTTTGGCTGCAGGCGGAGGGGACAGAACCTCTGCTTCCAAGGGCAGCCAAAGGCAGGAACTGGTGAGCAACTCTCCACAGCCCTTTTTTTTATAACCAGGTCTCCACCGAGAACGTGAAGCCACACATCAGCAACAGCTGGGCAGGGAGGGGGAACAGTCCGGCAGCTCACAGAGCTGCTCCCCATCATTCAAGGAAGGAAGCCAGGTCCCCCGGCCTCTGCTCAGAAAAGCCAAACTGCGCAAACGCAGGGAGCGCCGATGCCAGGTTCTGCATCGATCGCTTATCGCCTAGGGAAGCGCATCACGATAGAGGACGTGATAAGGGGAGGCATGACAGGGGCTTATAAAATTGTACATGAGATGGAGAG